TCGTCTCTAAATAACGCTTCAATTGAGGTGTCTCCAACGCTTATTCTTGAGGTTTTTAAAAGGCTGAGCAATGCGGGTGTGCTGGCGTTGTCGTTCTTTAGGTGGACTGAGAAGCAAAAAGGGTTTAAACATAATGCCTAGATGCTTTGATTGAATTCTTGGAAAGATTAAACTATTCAAAATTATATGGGAATTAGTGAGCGAAATGAAGCGTAAACGGGTTGTTAAATAAAAGAAACTTTTGCTTTAATTTCGAGGAGATATGCAAGAGCTATGAGGGTTAAAGAAGCCATTGATGCTTTTGAGAAGATTGAGGAGTTTGGATTGAGGTGTCTTGGTGTGTTGTCGTACGCAACCAAGATTAAAACCTAAAAACACATGTAGTAGTGTGAGCAAGGATCATTCTCACAGAGAGTTTCTAGCCGAGTTTTATGTTATGTGAACCAGGTAGGGGGGATTTGAGTAAAACGAAAACAATTTCAGAAGAAAAAGAATTCAAATTAATCAATCAAAATAACAAACCTTGGTCTAAGTCAACATCCACTATCGGAATCTTTCAACTAATCATCGATGCAAGCATATATCAATTGTTACTTTGAGTATTCACCGTTGGAACTATTTTCCCATCTCTCCTTAGTTGTAGGTAATTAGGAAACAAGCGATCTAATTAATCTTACTACTAAGCAACCCTAGACAAGCGCTAAAGGTTTAATCTAGTGGCAGCCTTAAGAACTAAAGAGATTGATGAAGCTGAACAACACAAATACAAGCGGTTGTATTTAATTCAGTTGAGTGTTCTTCTTAAGAATTAATCATTCCTGACGCAGCAAATTCTTAACTCTTATTTACTCACAAATTAGAGAGATCAAACAATTATGGATTTGATATCTAATTTAGCAATAGATTGCAAAAAATAATAAACTAGTAGGCCTCCTAGTAATTAAATGCAACAATCATGAAAATAGGCATAGAAGAACATCCAATACTCAAAACATATATTGAACACTAAAGAAAAACAGATTAGATCTCTCAGTTTAATGATTCCAAGCCCTTCGTTTCCTTCGACCAAGTTATGAAAGTTTTAGCCGCTCATGGCCATAATAAAAAACTCAAAAGAGAAAAATTCCAGAAGAGAGAAAGAGAGGTGTGTGCCATCCCCTCTAATCTGATCTCTCTCCCCCTTTTAAGAATATCCAGTTCAAGTCTTTGAATTCTACTCAATCTCCTAAAAATATTCTAATATCCTAAAATAACATTTATCCTAATCTGATTAATTGAAACTAAAATAAAGTCCTAATGTAAAATAGGAAAGTGGTGTTTCTAGCTATAACTTGCGTGCAACAGGTCTTCAAAACTTCCAATAATAAACTGCCTAATTGACTTGCATGATAGGGCAGAATGTTCCAGAACGTCAGCAATGCAGGTGCGTCAAATTCAAGCCCGATTCCAACCTTGATTCAGTGATTATCTCTCCAAACCCAAAACATGAAAGTTGTAGATCTCTTTCTTAGGGTTCCACAACATTTTCAACCATCTCAATCGGAGCTCGGATGAGAGAGTTATGGCCAGATTACGAAGCAATGTCGAAACTGTCTGAATTCACCTAATTAGTTCCGTTTTGCATTTAACGCCTCCATTTGCATCCTAAATCAAAATAGAATAATAATGAGTACATTTAGGCAACAAATAAGTATAAAAGAAGAGACATTAAGGTGGGGTAAATATGACATTTTGCATTCTCATCATGTCTCCACCACAAACTTACCTACAAACCCAGATTGGATGTGTTGTCTTCTAGTGGCTTTGAGACTATTAGATTTGGCTGCATTAAGGGCATCATGCTGTGGCCAAATCTGGCCACAACGTGATGGTCTTATGGCTTCGAGCCACCTTAGAGCCTATTCTGAGAAGGAAGAAGAGGGAAGGAGAAAGAAAGTAGGAGGAAGAGAAGAAGAAAAAGAGGAGAAAAAGAAGAAGAATGGGTAGAAGAAAAAAAAGAGGCGGCAGTGGTATGATGACATTGGGTGGGTAATCGAACATGGAAGAGAAAAATCTGGCCATAGCTTGATGGCCTTACGGCGGCCAAATCCAGCCGCCTCAGAGCCTACTTTAAGAGGGAAGAAGAAAGAAAGTAGGAGGAAGAGAAGAAGAAAGAGAGGAGGAAAAGAGGAGAATGTAACACCCACATCAAGGTATGTAATTTTATTTATGTCCTAATACCCTTAGTTTGATTTCTTTGAGGTTACCTTAGACAAATGTGAAGAAAATTCCTTAAAACTTCATTAGGGGTAAAATGGTCTTTTCACTTATAATTAGATGAAAAAGTGGGAAATGAAAGGAACCAAATAATGTGAAGAAGATAATAAAAATGAGGGAAAGTGGAAGGGCAAAATGAGAATAACATATATATATATTAATATATATATAATATATATTATATATATAGTTATAAGGTTGCAATAACCTAAACCCAGCCATTCTAACCCTTATTCACTGCACCCTTCACCCCTACTTTTTCAAAGGGAAATCATAGAATTTGGCTTGGATTTTTATAGATTTTCAATCCTAAAGTATCTAAAGATAAGATTCTAGCACAAGGAGTGTGATTAAACTTTAAAGTTTTAAATTCTTATAGTTTTTATATGATCTAGGTCCAAGAGGAAGAGACTTTTAGCAAAAGGAAGTTATATCACACATTCAAGGTAAGTAAACCCCAATTTTAGCCTTGATTTGAGCAAGACTTGTGTAGAATGAATTTTTGCATGTTTGTATATGATGGTATGTGAGAATTATTGGCTGTTTTTGATGTTTAATGATGCATAATTTCCAGCCATGAGAAGTAGTGTATGAGTATGTGTTGAATTGGTGGAATTATGGAAGAATTAGTGATGCAATTTTGAAGTGTAGAGAATTGTTGAACTTGGCCACGTTTGATACTAAAGTTAGTGAGTTTTTGGCTCACATTTTGATGGAATTAGAGAGATGTGGAAGTGTAGCCAACATGGTAGTTGCATGTGCATATGAAGTGTTTGATGAAAATCCAAAGAGAAAATGCATGCATGAGTTTGCTAAACCCTATTGAAGAAAGGGTTAGAGAAAGACAAGAATTGAAGTAGGAAGATTATGTTTGGGCTTAACCAAGTGTAAATGTTAGTATTCAAGAGTGCATATTGTTATGCCAAAAATTAATATATCACTTGGTCATGTTGTTCCATGAGAGAAATGACCCTTAGTGCTTGGTTCTAGTTACTTGAACCTTTACTACTTCTTGAAAAGCACATGGAAGTGTTAGAGAAGAATGGCAAGTTAAAATGTTACTTTGATGTGGCAATTGTGATAGTAGAGAATGGTAGAATATGTCATGACATACCATTATGCCATAATGAATTTTCAAGTTTGTATATGTGAACTTGGAAAGTATATTAAAGAATGGGCTTGATCATGCATATTTTGTGCACATGATTTATATATAACCTTGATTTAGTAAATGAGAATATGAAAGAATATGTTAGCAAAGAGTGAGAGAAAGAAAGAAAAAAGAAAATGGCTAGTAATTTTCTTTTAAGCTAACATGCAAGTATGTATATTTTCTCATTTACTAAAGAATGCAAGTGTAGGATTTCCATAGCTTGGAAATTCACGTTGAAATGTGTATAGTATCTCTTTCTATTCTCTTTCTACAACATGCTATTTATAAGATTTTTGTGATGGGGAACCTGTGAGTGATAAAGATGCCCACATACACGCTGCCTTGAGCGAGAGGCCACAATAGAGAGATACAGTATTTGTACAGTCTGTCAGTAGTATATGTGGATGAGGACTGTACCCAACAGAGCATACCTACATGCACGCTACCATGAGCGAGTGGCCACAACAAAGAGATATAGTATTTGTATAGTCCATCAGCACTGCATGTAGATGAGGACTGTACCCACTCACATGGCCAGGGTTCCAAATCCATGCATCAACCTAGTCCGATCGGCAAATTAGAATAGAAGAAAGAAAAGAAAGAGAAACAAAGAAGAAAAGAAAGAGAAACAAAGAAGAAAAGAAAGAGATGCAACATAAGAGACATATAACAGAAAAGAAAAGAAAGTTCTTTTTCTCAGTAAAGTTTATTATTCTGAATATGTAATATGCTACTGACATGATTCAGTATTTCTTATGTGCTTGGCGATGTACAATTTTATTCATTGTCTTTGCACGTTGATAAGTAGCAAATTAGAGTATCAGAAAAGAATGCAGAATATCAGAAAAGAATGAAGAATATTATCAAACATTAAAGTGAGAAAAAGAAAATCAGAACATGAGTAATGGAGGAAAAACAGTAGTGCAGTTTGGTTTACTTACTGAGCAATTAGTGCTCACTCTGTTATTCTACTGTTTTGCAAGAACTTGATGATTTACAATCAGATGGAACATCAAGAAGCGGAGGAGTTTGACAGCACTGTCCAAGACTACATTGTACTATTAGTTATTTTGTGTATATGTTTATATGAATTAAAAGTAAAATTTTCGGATTTTACATTATATACCTCTATGTATATATATGTTTACAAAGTTATTTAGTGGATTTTATCATATATTTCTCAAAGAATTACTAATTAGAGAGTATATTACAGAGAAGAAGAAGAAGAATGGGTAGAAGAAAAAGAAGAGGCGGCAGTGGTATAGTGACATTGGGTGGGTAATTGGACATGGAAGAGAAACGAGGGGGAGAGGGGTGAGTTCAATGACCATTTTACCCTTTGGTCATTCCATTAAATAATTTTCTGTTAATTTAAGGGTAGGAATGTGAAATTTATGAAACTAGGGGTGAATCTGTGAATTTCGGTTAACCTTGGGTGGAAACATTTCTTTGTTTTTACCCTGTGGGTGGGTGGGGCTAGACAAAACCTTCCCTGTCAATTTTAATATAGTAAAGGACATAAATACACTAAAATCAAGAAAAAAGAAATTAGAATACAATCTGAAATTCATTACTGATAACAAGTTGGTGAAACACAATTGGACATTTCATCAATCACAAACCTTTTTACAACATATTCTATACGGTATATGCATAAATTGTGTAGTAGATATACAATCTATATGGTAGATGCATAAATTGTGTAGTAGATATACAATCAACTGCTAAGTATATGTGAAAGACACTATACATTAAACTCAAATTCTTCAAATAAACACTCCAAGATCACTATAAACAACTTCTGCTTAAGCTCATGGACTGTCAGGAAAAGGAGTTATGTCTCGGAAAACCTGCAATCTGCTTCTCGTCTTCATATTAATGTTCTTCTCAGACATAAGATCATTATCCTTTACTGGCACAGAGTTCAAGCCTGTGTTTGACCTCTGGTACTGACCAAAACATAAGGAACGTCGCACTGTTTGATTCTTTGATGAAACAACACCACTCTTGGATGTACGATATCCATTCTGTAAATCAATTGAGTCTTCAAGCTTTTGGCTTAAGTACTCTATCTGATTCTGTGGACAAGAACTCGGATAAATTACATTGGAGTTGATATTTTCATTATTAAATTCTTCTTCTTCCATAGTCCAACCATCCAAACCCTCTCTTGAAATTCTATCAGATAATGACTCTTCTTCTTCCTCTTCTTCGACCATATCTGCCCAACTCTTTTTACCATGAGCTGTAACGCCATCCAGTGGTGACTTGGGTTTTTCAGAAATTAATAAATGGAGAGTATCCAACATTTCAGAGGTCTGACCACCAAAGAAAAATTTTAAGCCACCTGTATTATTATCATCACCTTTTTGCCAAGTACTTGTCCAGCTTCGGTCCACAGTATCCTCTTTTGTTTGAGCAAACCCATCATTTCCCCAACAAGAAGACTTTGGTTGTGAAGGAGATTGTACTGCTGCTTCATTTTTCACCTGAGCAAAATCTTTCAGTGATTTCCTTCTCCAGTCTTCACTAGTAGGTGAAGGCAAAGCATTTTCAGACTCTTGTAGTGATTTATCATTTGCTGAAACCAATTGTTCTCTGTTAACATTCTGGGACACATTTTCGGTGGTTACAGCTTGCTCAAACAATAATTTGCAAACAGAACTGCCAACTGCTTTCTCTTCCCATTTTCCCCTTCTCTGATCTCCCATGTGTGAAGATGATACTCTTGGTTGTGTATATACAACAGCATTATCTGTGAGTTCAGTTTGCTTGGATGGCACACAACCATTTCCCCATCTTTCCATTCTCTGTTGCCCATCAGAAAGTCCCCATGAAGGTCTTCGTGGTTGTGTAAATGGAACTTCAAAGTTGCTTCTAACAGTGGATGGGGAAGCATCTGTCTCCTGCCGTAAACAGCTTACTCCTATCCCAGGTGAACTAGCCCAATGTTCCTTCCTCGCACCAGCAAAACCAGACCTTCCACTTTGGTTTTCGAGATACAAATATTTCCACCAATTATTGTCAAACACAGAGAGTGGAGAAATCTGTGAAGTTGCTGCTGGTCCAGGTGACACGCATTTCAAACTTCCTTTGTCATATCCAAAGACTCTGTTCATATTCTCATGCTGATTTTGACAATAAGCTCTTCTATCTTGTTCATTTAATGGCATCATTTCTTCATCACATCCATCTGCCCTGCTTCTGGAGACATTGATAGTAGATACATGATTTGGACCTCCATAGGTTAAGCCAGCAACAAAATTTGAGTTTCTGTCAGTAGGCAATCCAAAAGGTCTTTGGTTTTCCACATTGTCCTTTTTATGCAGCTTCTCACTTCGTTCTAACATTGATGGTGACTGTAATTCAGTCAGCATCTGAAAAGCACGATCAAAAGATTTAGCATATGAATCATCCATTTGCTTATTTCCAGCTGAAGCTTTTACAGCCTGAAGCAGAGATTTTGCTTCCATCATCCTGTTCATGTGCATCAAGCAGATTGCAAGATTGCACTGCTTGTTCTTGTCTGCCTCTAGGGACAGTGCTTTTCTGCAAAGGAATGTATATGTAGCTCAAAATAAATGCCTCTTTTCTTCAGAAAAATATTGTTATATATGCCTCTTTTCTTCAGGAATAGTGGAGGAATACCTGTAATACTGTTCAGCAAGTTCGTAGTTATTTTGCTGCAAATAAGCCCACGCCAAGTTCCCCAGTATTCTACATTATTGGTTGATCAAAGTCAGATAAATGTAACGAAATATATGGTGAAAACATGAAAGAAGAAAGCAAATAGATGAACATCCACCTTGATCTCTCTTGTGCTACAGTTATTTGAATCTTCTTCCCCTGCGATCTTGCCAACTTTGTCTTTGCTCCACCAAAAGCTATACCTTCTTCTATCTTTTTCAGTTTGCACTGAAGCATTTCTATCTCTTCTGCAATTCTCCCAGACCTCTGCCAAAACAAACAAATAAATAGAATATTGAATCTTAACATGATTTTTTTTTTTTTTTCCAGAAGTAGTTGCATAAGAGGTTAAATCAAGAGCAGTGAGATTTATCATAGCCTCATTGATACTGCATGATTCAGCTGGCATGTCACGAGAAGTAAATTCATGCTTCTTAGCTCCATAAAGCTTCGTGTGCATTTGCAAACTTAACCTTTCCACTATTCCTATTAATTTTTCCAGCTCTAATACTCACTAAATAGGCACACTGCTCTTTCACAGTTAGGAAAAAGAAACTAATGCCTTGCCTTTACAATTTCCTAAAACCAAACCTACAGTGAGATATTACATTTCTTCAAGCCTAGTTCAGTTTCTTCATATAAAGCATGGATCCTTTGAAGTGTAGTGAAGACATCAAAAGATTACTTACATATGCTTTAAAAAACCATTCAGTAGTTCTTCATCTACTTTCATTCTAATCTCATATTGACTGATAAGTACTTGCTTATGGATTCAAATCATCTTGGTTAGATGTAAAAGGTTACAAAACACAACACATCAATTAACTATTTTCTGTCTCACTGAGATCCTGTTTGGAGCAGATAAGAAGTGATAAGTGTTATGAAGAACGCTTAACCCCCTCTAAATCTAAATTATACTTTTCCGATAAATTATACATATTAATTGATGTAAATGGAAGATTAAGGAAGGAAAAAATCTTATCAAACATGACAAACATATGCTTCAATTCAAAAGCACTCAGATTTACCCAACCTCCACTAATAGTCTTAATACTTCCAGCAGCAACAACTTAAATCAAAAAAATGAAAGAGAAGTGCTAGTAAAATGTAAACAAATTAGGGGAAGAGAATGATAGTTTACTTTGTAAAGTTCGATAAGAACATTGTCAAGAGACTCCTGAGAGTCATAAGGGCAGAGATGACGAAAAGATTTGATCGCCTCGATTGCCTCATCCGGTCGATTCAATTGTTTCATCACAACTGCCATGTCTTTCAGAGCACTATCAACTCGGTCCCCAGCATTTATAGCAGCCCAGAACATTGAAACTGCCCTGCTTGGATCTTTCTCTACCAACTACATTTAAAGAATAGCAAATAAGAAAGAGAAATAAAGGAACCCCATAAACACATTTGATCTTACAAAATGTGTTTATGGGGTTCCCCATAAAGAATAGCAAATAAGAATGGCTTTCGCTGAAGAACTCTAAAGCAATTGATCTTACAAAATTATACAGCGGATACTCTTGAACATTTAGTCTATCAGTAATGATTTCACCTAAAATTTCGACCAAAAACACATAGCTCTTTTTATTTGGAAAATATTCAGCTCAGTAAATCATGCAACAATATTTCATCAACTATAAAAACCTGTTCTCTATACAAGTAAAATTGCCGAAGACATAAAACTTCACCATTCATTTATTTTTATTTTCTCACAATTTTCCCTTAAACCAAAGAAAGTTAATTAATATGGGCAACCCTCCTATACAAAACCCACTTCTACATGAAATTCAAAGATTTTTCTATAATATAGGATACAGTGTTTTGAAAAACAGTAATCAAACAAAAATTTCGTACTCTTTTAATATAATTAATGAACCAAATTGTTCATTACAAAATTACTCAAATTTCCGAGAGCAAGAATTATAACCAAAAAAAAACCCAGAAACCAACAAGAAAACATGAATAAACCATGTAAATTCACAAAGAAATAATAATAATAATAATAACCTGAATATGTTTAGCCTTTCCATAAGGAGAATCACCAGCGGGCACTTTGTGAATGACATGAAAGAGATCACCTTTGGCCTTCATTGGTGACATTCTCTTCCTTTCCGACATCGGAGATGGCGGCGGTCTTTGCTTTCTCCAAGTTGGCGGCGGCGTCGAGAACTTCTTATCAATGTGGGTCCACATATTTGGCTTCTTTGAGTAAGAAAACTATCTATTGTCACTTTCCAGGGAAAATCTTGCAAACCCTTTTCTTGAATGCCAAGAAAATGATTTTACTGATCAAAGCAACCACTTTCTCCTAAATAAAAAAAAAAAAAAAACAGTCCTGTGCTTCAAAGGCCAATACAAATGAAGAAAGAGAGGGCATAAGGGGAAGTCACTTTCTGGTAAAAATTCTTAAAGCCTTGTTTTTGCATCTCCGGGAAAAGTCTTTGCAGAGGTATCTTGGATGACTGGGAAAATTGGGATTCTTGTGGTAGGAAATCACTTTTCTGTTGTGGGAAAATCGTTAATTTTTATGGGAAACGTGAAAGTGGAGAGAGTGATGATGAGTTTTGAGGGAGTCAAGAAAGAGGAGTAACTAGCCGTTTATTAACTACTAGCCGTTGGGCTTCCGGAAAATACCACACTTGTGATTCGCACGTGTTTAGATCTTCCCAGGCTTTTTTTTTTTTTAATTTTTTTTGCTTTCGTTTTCTTTTATGGATAATAATACTGATAATTAAAAATAAAATTAAAATTTTATGATATAAAGACGAAGTTTTTTTTTTTCCCCATTTTTCAATCTTTTCCAATTTATATAGTAAAAGATTATGTTACATACGAAGATATGTTATAAATACTGGGTTAATAACACTTATACTTTGAGGCCGTTTGGATAAGTTGATATTATATAACGGGTATATGTTAAATTGAGTAGATACCATGTTTGGTGTTTTGTAAAAAAAAAAAAAAAAAAAAAAACAAAAAAAAAAAAAAAAAAAAAAAAATTCCAAAAAAAAAATGTCAAACAGTGCCAACTTGAGGGTAAATTGTCGGGAATATTATTACCTAGGGGGAGGCTGTTATTAAAACATTCCTCCACTAATCCAAATTTCCATCAATCTTGCCCCAAAACAGTGGACAATGCGGACTTGCTTTGTTAATAATTAAAAACAGCCAATTTGCGCAAGCAGATAGATTTGTCCTTAGTTTTTTAATTTTTTGGACAAAATTGCACCTGGTTATTATCACTGTTTTAAAAAATGTCATGAAATATTGGTGTATCCAATTATCCTCACATATTTGCATATTGCGACCAATATGCCCTTGGATTTCAATAAAACTACAATATAAAAGGGAAAAAAATTCTGAACCCTAAACATTTCGATCTCCTACTACCCTAAATCTCTATCACCACTGCTAGAGTCTTCTGCTTCTCAATCTCGTTCACCAGTTTGTCAGTCCGATCGCCATTTCCAATATGTCCCTCGCCCTCTTTCCATTGTATGGTTCGTGATTTGTTTGGATTGCATTTGTAACCCTAACTTCTCCATTTTGAGGCTGTCGTTGGTCCACCAATATTCAATGACTCTTGAATAACTTTCTCAGCTAACCTACAATAATGAATAACAATTATCATCAACAGGCATGTCACAAAGACAAGAAAAGCTCTAGGCAAAACAAACTGCCATCACAAACCTTCAATATTTGCAAGCTGTTCTTTCAACTGAAGATTGTTTCAGTGAATCTTGAAATACAATGTGTACCAAGTGATAAATGAAGCAAATTTTTTGCAACTTCAGATATCTACCCTAGCTTTTTTTTTTATTTTTTTTTTTTATTTCTATGGTTATAAACATATCTACCCTATCTATGGCTTATGCTGTATCACAAGTCATTAACTAAACAACAAAGGTCTCGTTCTATGATGCAACAGGTTAAACAAACTGTCATCTATAAAATCACAATCAAGCACCACAAACATGTGTGTGTGCGTGAACATATTGGACATTTTTACTTTTTAGCCTTACTTGTGCATGTCCACCCAGTTCACTCCTGGTTTCATTGCTTTTATGACAGCATTGTGAGCTTTAAGAACAACATGCATAAGACGAAACTTTTACTACAATAAGCTTAATACCATACATCATCTGCATTGTCTAACTCTACAAAGTGCACATAAGTGGAAGTTAGACAAAATAAATTCTGCATTGTTATATTTAACATACATTTTTTCGACAAAAATGTCAAAACATTTTAAGACAAACTAGAATGATGAAGGTATTGCAATAGCAAGAGCTCATCCTATTTCCCAAATATAAAGTTAAAGTAAACTTATAGAATCAAATTGGTTAGCAACAACATAAAAGATTATACCAATTGAATTGCTAAAGAAAATAGTTTTGAGGGACTGATGTGAATTTTTTATGATGTTTATGTTGGTTTGTGTGATAGATTCTGAATTTTGATGTGTGGGACGTTGAGAATTTTATGAGTGTTTGAGGTGAATTTTGGTTTGTGTGGTGAGATTATTAATTTCTAATGTTTATGTTATTTTCATCGAAATTCAGTTTGATTTCTTTCATATAAGATTGCCTGTTATTGGTTTAAGGACTTGTATATGCTTGATTGACTTTATTATGCTTTGATACATGAATTATGTAAAACAGCTATAGCTCGTTTAACAGTTAGGTTTAACAGTTAGCAGAAGATGCACTTGGTTGCCCTTTTAGTCTTCCATAAACCATGTACACCATGCTCGTCCTTCTTGGGTTGGCTAATGTACTTAATATATGGGGTAGACGTAAGGCTAGTATATCATATGCCAGTGAGTCTGCGTCTAGGTTTAAGGTTAGGTCGTTGAATTTACATACCATGCTTTTCCAAAGTGATGAGTTATTTTTTGAGAGCTGTAGGATGAATAGGGTTCTATTTGACAAATTATGTAATTAACTTACTATACATGACAACTTAAAATCAACTTGTCATTCATCCATAGAAGAATTAGTAGGGGCTTTTCTTCACATCCTTGCTCATAACCAGAAGACAAGAGTCATGAAACATCAAATGCACAGATCTACTGAGATGGTAAGCCACAATTTTCACTTAGTGTTGAACGATGTGTTAAGGTTGCATACCCTGCTATTTAAAAAACCAGAGCCCATTCCTGAAAACTCAACCGATGACAGGTGAAAATGGTTCAAGGTACAGTCTAATGACTCAGTTTAGGATGCATGTGTAGTTCAGTAGCTTATTAAAATTAGAGTTAGTGTTTTGATACATTTACAAGTCCTAAAACAATTGTAAACATTAGTGGACAAGCAATTACAAGTCCTAAAACACTTGCTCATTCGGTTGAATTGAAGAATTTCACTCCAATTCCTAAAACACTTGGATTGTGGGATGTGGAAAGCAATAGAGGATATTTGGCCCAAGCAAGTTCCAAGGAGGGAGAGAGTCCAAACATTTCAGCCCAAACCATTCCAAGTCCAAGCTCACCAAGGGAAGCTCAAGTCCACCAAGAAAGAAGTCCAAGTGTTGAAATATCCAGTCCGGCCTAAGTCTTACTCCAAAGGGGAAGATCCACATGAACCCTTATTAGATCCATTTGCATGATTCTCAAGGCCCAAATTCTCACACCCTTATTAGTAGACTTAATTAGGATCATTGATCAAGTTTTGATCTAATGGAAGTAAGTTTATTTCAACTAATGGGGTGGTTAAGACATAGATCCTAGAATTAGGGAATTATGTCTCTTTTGCACAAAATAGGCATGGCCTTGCTTTTTGAATGAATGGCTTGTAATATCAGTTAAGTTTATTTCATTTTACTGTAGTTGTCAATTACTTGTTTATCCTTGTATTTGCCTATATAAGGGCAACTATTTTCATTGTAACAATTAGCTTTTGAAATATATGAAATTGGTTTTATCCATTTGAGAGAACTTTTGTGTTCTTGAGTGTGCATTCTTTATCCAAGTCTTGGCAAGGGGATTTGGTGGTGAATTAATTCAAGTTGGTGGAATAATCCTTTAGGCTTGAAGTGTTTCTACTTGTCTTGGTCCGGATTTGCAAGTAAGTGTGATTTATTAATGTTTTTTAGTTTGGCCAAATTTCTACTTGATTTTGGAGTATGTTGTGTTGTTGAATTGGTTGGAAATGGATCATGTTTTGTCTAAAATATTTTTCTTGTTCTGTGTTAGAACTGTTTGAGAACTTTAGATGGAACATATATAAAAGTTCACATGCTCTCTGACGATATAACTAGGTATCGATCAAGGAAAAATGAAATCGCAACAAATGTCCTTGGTGTATACACATGCAATTTATATATGTCCTCCCTTGGTGGGAAGGTTTCGCTGTAAATGGTAGAGTTCTTAGGGATGCCATTACTAGCAGAAATGGATTAAAGGTCCCCCAAGGTAATATAACAAAATAAATTGCATTTTTAATGTTAGGGTCTGCCATAATAGTACACTTATTAATTGTTATTGACTTGAAATTGATTATTTTAGGGCAATATTATTTATGTGATGCTGGATACACTAATGGGGAAGGGTTTTTGGCCCCTTATTAAGGACAAAGATATCATTTGAATGAATGGCTGCAAGGTTACCAACCGGCATCATTGCAAGAATTTTTCAACATGAAACACTCTCAAGCAAGAAATTATATTGAGCAATGTTTCGGCATCCTGAAAGCTCGATGGGGAATATTGAAGGACACATCTTACTACCCTGTAAAAACTCAATGTAGAATCATTACTGCATGTTGTCTTTTGCACAATTTCATAAGGTTTGAGTTGCTCATTGACCCGGTTGAAGCAAAGCTACAGAAAGAGGTCAACGATGAAGGGCAAGAGGATGATAATGGAGAATTGATCAAGCACGTTGAGCCTAGTGCCACGTGGACTGCATTTAGAGACAACATGGTGGCTGAAATGTTCAATACTTGGATGGCTTTGCAGAGTGCATGATTTTGCTAGTGTTGAGTTTGTGTGTAGTGTTTTGACTTGTTAAATTTATGTTTTCTATATTGGCCATGTATGAGTGAACCAAAACACATATGCTTTGTTTGTGGACTTGTACTTTGAGTTACATTTTTCATAATGTGGATGGTTGAATGTTAATTGATCCCCTTCATGTATTCTTGTTGTTGATTTACTTAAAATTATGAATACCGCGCATATTTGTATGTGCAAAGTAAGCTGTTTACATTCAATTGCTCGGACACTGTGTATATACAAAGTTCTAACCTAAATTTTTTTCCCAATATCACTAATCTTCC